CTTATAATTCAGGGCCTTCAAATTTAAGTCCTGAAGTATATGTTGATAGTAACATGGAGTAATGTTTTTCTTGCTTTATGTGGGACAATTTATCCCAAACCGTTTTCTACTAATGGTGCGTTTGGTTAGTGGGAATTCGAAGTCGGGAATAGGATCAGGAATTTATGGTTGAAAATTCAATAAAATATTGTCAATTGCTTGTTTGGGCTGTAAAGAGAATTGATTGAGAATAAATTTCTATTTACAATCACCCCCTTACCAATGTAACATCCTTATGCTTTTATTAATGACAAATTGGTCTTTTCTTCTTTATTTCCAATTCTCATCTCTATTACTTGCCCCCCCTCCTCCTCCCACTAGGTACGGTAGGTAATAAAATCATGAGAATGGTGCAATTTTATTCCCATTTTCAATCCCAACTACAATCCCCCTTCCCACAAAACAATAAACAAGGCAATATATACTCCCACCTCCTCAATTCCCATTCCAAGCCCCACTTCCCACATACAAAACACCCCCTATATGGCTTAATTTTAGGCCCAATCAACATACACTCGTAGTAGTTCACAATACCCCCTTTTTTCATAACACTGTACATGGCTTAGACTCCGTATAACTCATGCATGTTTTATTAAGGGTCTGTTCACATTTACTTAATTTCAGTTCAGTTCAGTTTAGTTCAGCTCCAATCAGTTCAGTTCAGTTCAGCTCCTAATTTCCTTATCTCATAAAATATTCATTTCAGCTCGGTTCAGTTCAGTTCAGTTCAGTTTAGTTCAGCTCCAATCAGTTAAGTTCAGTTCAATTCAGCTCAGTTCAGTAAATGTGAACATACCCTAAATCTTGTTATAGGCTAAATAAAGTATAGTTAAAGTTGAATGATTCTTAAGGAAAATACAAATTACAAATAAAGTTAGGGTAGGGGATTTAAACTTGTAACCAAACGTATAAATACCCCAAATGTTAACCAACAAATAGAATAATCGGACAAGACCAAGCTAATATTTTAGCATTGTTGAGCTTTAAAAAGATTATAGCATTGTTGAGCTTTAAAGCCTGTTCACATTTACTGAATTGAGCTGAACTGAACTAAACTGATTGGAGCTGAACTGAACTGAGCTGAAAATGAATATTTTATAAGAGAAGGAAATTAGGAACTGAACTAAAGTGAAGATAACTGATTGAATCTGAAATAAACTGAATTGAATCGAACTGAACTGAAATTAAGCTAAAGTGAACAAGCCCTTAATTTCACATCATCTTGACAACAATTTTACACAAGGTCAACCCATTTATTTTTATTTTTTTTAAGAAATAAACCTTTTTTTTTTTAACAATATGGAGCAATCCCCACTATTTATTGACTTATTTTGACTGGAATCTGCCACTATCAGCAAGTAATATTTTGTTGTTATTGTTGACGCATGTGGAGGCATATTGCATATCCACCAATCAATATATGGATGATTTAAATCCAGGTTATGGGTATAATTATCCTCCTAAAAGATTTACCAACTTTTTTTTAAATAAGGGGGCACAAAAGGTGATTGATGCCTGATGTGTAGAGACTTTGCAATGCAAGCTTAACAAGGTACAAAAGTGTTTGATGGTGGATTAACTTTTTTCATCGAAATTGAAAGTTAGAGCTATTTCAGTCTTTCAGAGAAATATAAACTTTATGAAGTTATAATTTTTGTAATTAACAGTCATTTCACATGATTAAGGGTAAAGATCAAGTCATGTTTACTAAAAGTTAATTATTAGGTTTTTAAAGGTTTTCATGTATGAATATCACCTTATTAGGGATTTTTATGTTTTTGTTTTTTTTGAAAGGTTTTCAAAAAAAAAAAAAAAAAAAAAAAAAAAAATAGGGATATCTATGTAAGACTGTAAGAGACTAAGAGATCATATTTTATGTAGAACTCAACCTGCACTTGAAGATACCAGTCTTGTTCAAGCAACCTGCACTCTCCAAATTGAAATCAATTTTTTTGTCAAGTACTTATACTTTAATAAAACAAACTTTTACTACGGAGTAAATAAAACTAATTACTACCTAACTATTTTATATATATGACTACTAATAAAAATTAAAAACTAATTGAAAAGGGTCATACTCAAATTCTCATCTTATCCATTGATTTTATGGCCTATCTATAATAAACCATTTCCAATTTGGTACATTTAATTTGTCACTCAATAACATCTATTTATTTCATTCTATAAACCCTTGAATACAAAAGCCTGGCCATCAATAATTAAACAAACGACTTTCTCTTGAAATAAAAAAAATATCTCTATCAATATAATATTCACTTGGAATGCAAATGACTTACCATCTAATCTATATTATGACTTTGTGATTATTACTCCGATCCGTAATAAATAGTACGGAGTACTCGTTGCAAACAAATTGATCTAGACACTAGTCATGAGTTAGCACATAATCATTGTTTCCTTTCATTTACAACCTATTATCATCAATTGTGTTAAGTAAAACAAAAATATCATTCTCTTCTTAAGGCATTGTTAAACAGCAGCACTTGCATATAAGTGTCTACTCCTGTAATGACGCACCATAGAGTGTAGAGAAACAGCAGCACTTGCATAGAGCCACTAATCATACAACGTCGAAATATGAGTTTAAGTTGGTGTGTCAAGCATTATATTGTTGTACGAATAATTGCTTGATTGCACGGATTGATTATATTCATGCTGCTATTGGCATAAAATGAACATTGAGCATACACTTGAGATGCAAAGAAGTCTAATGTACTCTAAGAGCACTTTCCATAAATATTAGTGATCTTTCTTCTAGAATCTTGTACTACTAGTACTAATGTACTGCTGTGTTGGAGAAATGAGTTTTCCATAACAATAGTCTTAAGCACCAATCTGTTTATTGGTAATTTATGTAGCTATTTGAAGAATTGGAGAGGTATGTACTTGTTTGATATTATGCCCAAACCAACATCTTTGTTTGAAATTATGTTGTTGTATTTGATGGGCTTCAAATGTGCATAATCAGCTTGACTATAGTGGGCTTAGTTGTGTCAAGTACTTTTACTCTTTAGGTGTTTTATTCACTGAATTGCACCCATACTTTGGAAATGTTACAACATTTTTGTGTTATGGAGTTGATAACTCGGGTTCGCCACGTAACTTTTTCGACTACCTTGTGAGTTGTAACACATACACCCATAAAATGTTGAGCTAATCTGATAGTCATATTAAATGTGTAATAACGCACATAATTTTATTTACCCATTTATATGATTTATTCATTAGCAACCAATTATATACTTTTGTAAAGAATATCCTAGTAGTTGTAAAATACATATCAAAAGCTAATTTTATTGCATTCACAATTCATGATAGATGTATTAAAAATAAAGGTCCAAATTTAATTTTATTGTATACGTACACCATCCATGATAGATGTATAAATAATTTTAAATAGTATATTGAGAAGAAAATCGAAATTTCTATCTTTCAATTATCATATTTCACTTAAAATAACACATCTTCCAATAATCATTACAACTAATAAAGCATCAAATGAGGTATTAAAATCTTTTAAAGATACCCAACTAAACCATTATCAAGATTTTGTCATCCTATTTTCTGGAAAAAATCTTCTTTGATCCTCTTCCCATGGTTGCATATTTGTTAATTACACCCGCTGTTTCATACTTGTGTTTATAATATTATATTTGATTTAGAACGAGGATCAATATCGTATAAATCGAATCCCATGATTTGTTAGCAACACACACTTATAAACAAATAGTAAGGACATCCAATGGAATTAATCAATGATTAATCATAGTGTCATATAGAATAAAAAAACTAATAAGGGTACATTGTTTTGTGACATCTCTTTTATGCATGGTTTAGAAACAACATTACCTTAAAAACAAAGTACTCTTTTTTGTTATTTAGTCTAAAAGTAAGATATAAAGGCATCTAAATTAATCAGCAAAATCAAAACATGATTGTATGCTAATCATGTTCTTTGAACTTATACATATGGATTATGGTTACTCGTATAAACTATGATGAAGGAAAAAGTTGATAGGATACTTATATACTACGTATATAAAAAGTTAGAATCATATATTGTAATAATAAAGAAAATGCCACATACATTTATATTATACATTTGTACAACATTATAATATACTTCGTAAGTTCGTAGTATATTGTATTAAGTATATGATAAATTGATGCATGCACTCGGGAGAAATGTAAATGTTACACCAAACACTAGCATTGAAGTAAATGTTACATATATATAAATGAAGTATCAGCTAATAACTTGTTGTACTACATAACATACTATCGTTTATATGCAGATGTTGCATATTTATATTAATTATATATATGAATCATTGTTGGATAAGTATTATGATTGAATTAAACAAAAAATGTACATCAAAATTACAATCAAATGATTAATACCCTAAGCAAGCTCAAAAAACATATGACACAAGCTGCACTACTAGATATACAAGCTAGCAATAATGGCAGATAACTCTCCAAGAGCTAGTACCATATATATATTTTACCTCTCATCTAATATCACATACATTTACGAACACTACTACATATACAAGGTACGTACGAGTGCATAACACCACGATTATCCAAAGTACCACCATAAACATAAATCCCCGTACTTATATATATGAGATACAAGATACAACCATATGTATCCGTTCAAAAAACTACCACAGCCACTACATTTTCTGTTCACCTATATCGGATTTTTTATCCACCTCCAATGGCTAAAAAGATTAACCATACATTTCTCCAAAACATATCATTATATCAATATATATAAGATCACACTCTAGCTTAAGTACTGACTAGAAGTTCTCTCCAGTGAGAATTCAGGCAGTGTAACATCAAAAAGATCAAGTGGTAAAATAAAGAATGCAAAACCTGGATGAAGGTGAAGCAACACACGATAATGCAAGGTAATAAGACCGATTATTTGCTTAGGAAACTAGATTGACCAATCTCTGATGAAGCCGCTGGAAATCTATGCATGTTACGTCTGTCACCTACAATATTGCAACAAAATTATTAGCATCATTGATAAATATATACTTCATAATTACCATACTCTAATTAACATACATTATATAACATCTAACAAATAGTTATTTAAGTGTGAATGAGCCACAAGGATAGTACAAGTTACAATTGAGTATATGGGGGAATTGAACCTGTAACTGTGTAACATGTCGTATACATGCCCTCAATCTTAAGAAGTAGGCCAAGACATCATTGAGTAACATCTTGCAAATGTTACTACGGAGTATATGATATATAGTCTCATTATATACTGCTCATAGTTTGCCTTAGACGACTAGGGATCAAAATTCTATCTACTGACTAGATGTTCTAGTTACTTGGATACTAGGGAATTTCGGAGACAACTCTTGATGATCAAGTTATAATTTGAGAAAATCCTCTACTATACACAACTACTTTAATAAGTCAATTGAAGTAAAATCATACTACCTTGAAAAAAAAAGAGTTGCATTTTACCTCACATACTATCTTATGAATTATTCTTTGGTTAACTTTGGTTGATGAGCAGCTTGTAACACTAAGCCCTTCCTCAAAAATAACTTGGAGAGCACTTGATAGAGTAAAACTTTGGTCTTCATAGCCTGCATTGATGTCTATATCGAGCCCGCCTAGGCATGGACTTATCTCTACACTTCCAAGGGATGCTCTTGGATGACTCGAACTGCCCACTTGATACGTTGAAGTATGACTTTCCGGGGCGGCTTTTAGCTGATCTCTCTTATCAGAAAGCTCTTGTATGTTCTTTTCCAAGTCTTTGATGTAATTCACTGCTTCAGTTAAGTGATCACTTGTAGACCTCTTTCCCTGAATTTATATTTCATACAAGTATAAATTACTCCGTATATCATAAACTCTCTAAGAATTTACGTTACCATTTTATTCAATTCCACTTTCTTCAATTAAATTATTTTTAAAAAAAAAAATTCACTAGCGGTAGTTGAGCTTCATTTAGGCCTAGTCGCCAATTTTGTGTGAAGTAGAACACATATAATCAAATGATAACCAAATAATTTGCATATTTTCTACTTTTGATTAATTTCGATCGATATCAAACAAATAATGAGTTATAATTTTATAAAATTACCAGATATATTGTCACATTACATTTAATGCACAATTCTTCAATTAATCTGTATTATTAGCCCCCGTTTTTAGTTATATATACATATGTATGTGTTTATTTTTGTAACTAGTAAAGTCAACAAAATAAAGTAGGTTTTGGTGGGAATGATTTTAGTAAAGTCCGACAAACCCTAAATAACAAAAAAAGCCAAAAACCCTAATTCAACATCAGAAGCCAAACAAAATAATTTGAATCAACATTTTACACTTCAAAAATAGAAACTAAAAACTTAATTTGTTGAATATAATTTGCTTATTTTCTTTAAAAAAAATAATCAATTTGATAAATACCTTAATATATTCCGGAGGAAGGGTAGAGCGTAGAGAAGAATAAAGATTAGACATTTCCAATCTTCTTTGTCGCTCAACTTCTTTGTGGATAGCCTTCTTTTGCTCATCATCATTATTCTCATTACAATTATTACTAGTATTGTTAGAGGATACTCGACCTCGACCCCGGCCTCGACCTCGACTTCTTCCTCTATTGTTATTAGGGCCAAGGCTAACATTTGTTGTGTTCATATCTCCTATGTTCACCGGTGCACCATCCAACCAATAAATCTGATTCTCCGCGTCTATTTGTTCTTCCTCCGCAACAAATTCAGTGGTTTGGAAGGAAAGCTCACCAGATCTTTGGAAAGGAAACATTTTTATGGTTTTTTTTTTTTTTGAGTGAAAATAATTGAGAGAAAAATCTACAACTTTATAATACTATATTTAAATATTTTTTTCCTGGGGAGATTTGAAGGAAAAGGCAAGAAGATTGTGGTTTTTTTACTATTGTAGCCGTTGGCCTTGTGATATCTAACATATATCTTCACTTATTTATACGAAGTAGAATATATAGATATAAGAAGAAAGGTTGTGCTACCTATTTGTCACACTACATAAAATATACGACGATTGTATTATTAGAGCCGAAACCCTATAAGTATATGTATATCGTAGGAGTAAACATGAAGCTGCGTGTATCCTTTTTGCGGGGTCCATGATTTTGTACATATGCTTTGATCTAGAATATTTTCTGTCCCTTCTATGATTTGATGATGAGGAAATGAGCATTCTGCATTTACTATGATTATGGAAAGATCTCGACTGTCTATTATCTATTTGATTTGATGCATTATTGGATGAAATTTTTAGGTGTAGGAATTGTTTCTTTTAATGAAAATTTTTATTAAAATATCCTTTTTATGTTCATTTGTTTAATATTGGAGCATTACACATTTAACTTTTGGAAAATGATAGATGTAGTTCTAAAATAAACTCCCGTCAAAAAAATATGTACGATAAACTGTTCCATATAGTAGGAACTATTAATTTTAATGCAATACAAAGTACTGATCAAAATAACTAGTAACATCAAACAACTTATAATTTTGCAATATGTCTTTAAATAATTCATCTGTGTTCATAAAATGGTTACACTTTATCTTTTCACTCTTCATGATCACAATAATATCTCTAATTATGTATTTTAAGATAATTCTATTATGTATTTTACAAATAATCTTATTCAATAAAAAAAATCAAGACAAAATCCAATGAAAATGATTATATATTTATATTTTGTTTCTAGTGTCTTTATAACACCAATAATAGTCAAAGCAAAGCTAGTAATAAATGCCAAAATCCAAATTAGTATAAACCATGTGTTGAAATGAAGGTGCTCCCTCTATTCCTTTATTAGATGCCTATTTCTAGTATTTAAAACTCACGTAATAAAAAGAACTAGGCATTTAATTAAGGGAGGGAGGGAGTAGTACAAAGTAGTAATAGAGATTGGACTAAACACTATTTTAGGACTCCCTTAGTCCCTTATTTTTTGTTACATTGTATACATTTGGTCAAACTTTTAAAGTTTTGACCATAAATTGTGGTTGAGATACAGTCATACAGACATACAATGATACTATAATCATAGGGAATCTTATCGAAATCGTCTCATTATATGATTTATAATATCAAGTTTTTACAAGATTTATGCGTATAGTTGAAAAAAAATATATAATTAAAACGCTTCTTAAAAACCGTAAAAAGTCAAATAAAGGGAAAAAAAAGTCGGAGCTGGGAGGTAGTAACCACTTCTTCATCATGTCATGTAATTGTGTACAAGTAATCTAGTGTACAAACTTAAAATTAATCAAAGTCGAAATATAATAACTTTGAAATTAATGTCACATCGTATACTTTTGAGTTTTGACTGAAACAATCACACCGTACTCCTAATTAACACATGTCTTTAAAACCTCTTTAACCTAAATCGGCTTAATATAAATGGGCGGCACCTCTTTAATGATTTGGTTTCTCGCCGATTAATGAACAGTTTAATGAATTAGCAAGCTCGTGATAAATTATTTCAACAAATTAAAGTAGATTATAATATTTTTAATTCGTGTCAATCTCGAGGGTAGACTTTTAAAAAGGTTTATTGATGCTTGTAATCGAGGTTTAAGAGTATGATTCACGATGTTTAAATAAAGTTTATTAAATATTTAAATCTTGACAAGAAAATATTATTGTTTGATTAACTAGAAAAGTTAATACAAAACGTTTGATTGAGCTGCTTGTCAACATTCTACAATGTAAGTGATTCTTGATATATACATAAAATAAGAATTGAAAGAAAAGAAAGCAATGAAAAGGATGTAAGTGATGCAAATGGTTGGACTTAAAAGTTAAGTTGTGATGAAGGACTATACTTAACCGACATCTCTCACGGATTTAGCCAGCTCAGCTCTGCAGGTCATCGCTTGAGAGCAGTGTGGGGAGGTAAGAGAATCCCCATAGTCCCAAACATTTTGTAGTTGTAGGGCTTAAACTTGTGACCTCCAAGTCATAAGGTGAGTTTTCCACCAAGTACACTTAGCTTGGTTATGTAAATGTTAAATATATATATATATATGTGAGTTATAAGAACAAATGATGTAGAAGATTGAGATTAACCACCTCCCACAAAATATTAACCAACCAATAATTTAATACAAGCTGAATTAATGATCAGATATTCGTATTATATGTGAGTAAATGAGTAATGTGACAAATGGAATTGATCTTAGTAGGTACCCAACCATCTTATCAATCATGCAATCGTACGTGCACAAATATTGCAGGATTTGCAAGATTAAAAACATGCACATATATACACATGTAAGGTCTAAAATATAATAATATTCTAATAGAAAGTTCAAATATAACAATAATAACAAATACGGAGTATATTTTATACAACAATATGCATCTAACTACTTGATTGTCCCTAGTACTTAATTGCCACACAACATTTTCCATGTCAAATGTCAAGAAAGTCGACAGGGCGGCAGGCAGCAAATTATACAGTGCAGTATAATGAGGGATATGCCAAAACCAAGACTGTTGGATTGCACTTTGCTAATAGTCTTACCATCTTTTCATTACATATTACTCCCTCCGTTTTTTTTATATGCATCACTTGCAAATGCACATAGTTTTAGGAGATAAATATAATATTGTGAGTGGATGAATAAATTATTATAATAAAAGTATGATGAGGACCATGAAAGAGAAAATATGTGAGAGAGAATAGATATTTTATTATTTAAGTAAGGACATAGAAGAGAGAGAAATGATAAAATAATTTGAGTGGGTTTTAAAGTAAGAGAGAGAAATAATAAAATATAGTATAACTTTATCAAATATAAAAGTGATGCATATAAAAAAAAAAGACACCCATAAAAGGAAAGTGATGCATATAAAAAAAAAAAACTGAGGGAGTAGTAAGCTTTACTGACCATGTCCAAAATATTATTTGGGCCACACCTATGAAAATTTTACTTTGTTCATTTTGACATCATTCTTAAAAGAAATAGTCTACCTACTCGGTGTCGCTGATATCGATTGGTCTATTAAAAAGGACGACATATATATCCTAAATGCCTTAATTAAAGTAAATTGTATACAATTCACCCTTATTTATAATATAGTTGCGTTAGTTTTAGACATCTAATCATATATACCTTTTTAAGGAACAATTATCTTTTCAAATCTTATTCGTTTTATATATCGTTAAATAAACCACATTATTTGATTGATTTGTGGTCAAAGAAGCTGTTAAATGCTCTACATCTACCACTTGAATAAGGCCGTTGCATGAGTACGTCCTTATGACAACTGATATGATCACGTGATTGTTGAATTAACTCAATATGGACACATGCTAGAAAATAAATCATTATCATTAAAATGTTGAAATTATCAAGCAAACATCCTAACCACAACAAAGTTATGTTTTTTCTATGAAGTATGAGGTTGAAATAATGAAATTCTTAAAGTAGTATAGGGCCAATTTTTTCCAACATTGATGAAAATCTCTTGGGTTATATTTACATCAAATTCATTTAAGTATATCTTTTGCACATATATAGATGATTTTTAGTTGGAACATTATCAAAGCTTTGTTATATATATAGCTACCTTCATGCACATAAATCAGTACAATCTTAGAATATACAAGTTTTTCAAGCATAATGTATCATAATTTTCTTGCTATTATATATTTTACTTCCCTTAAAGAATAAACAAATTTCTCTCAAACATTTATAATATACAAGAATACAACTACACTTTGTTCATACACCCTCACTGCTCTAGCAATATTCGATTGCCTAATTAATAGAAGAACAACCAAATGATCGATTGTTCATCTACACTCAGTAACTTGTTTCATACATACACCCTTCCTGCTCTAGCAATGCATTTGATTGCCTACATAATAAATGAAGAATCAAATGAACATATATGTCTACTTTCGTAACTTGTTTCATACACACTCCCTCCATTTCAAAAACATCAATAACCTAGAATTGGATCAAGTCACACCATAACAAGCTATGTATTAACTATAAAGGTAATAATGATAGTATATATAATCAGCAAAGGAGGTCGTTTAATTTCTGTTGTAGTTGATTCAAATCAATGCATGCTGTGTTTCCTACCTGCATCATAAACAAATTGTGTGTCAAACTAATTTTTATCACAAAAATGTATCGTATATATAAAAATTGCTCTCCTTCGATTTACAAAATTATCAAAACTCACATAAAACATCTGATAACCAACATTAATATCAACATAAACATTTCCCCAATATCGTTAAAGAGATATACTCACGGCCTTAATAGGCTAGGGAGTCGGATGTAAGTATGTGAGTTGCCTTACCCATAAGATAACATAAAAAATATTGCTATTTCACAATAAAATGATATACATCAAGTTAAATGTGACATTTGAATGTATAGTTCATTTTACAAAACAAATATGCATGCACATGTTAGTTCAAACTGGTACATCTATATTCTTTTTTCTCTGAATTGGTTGAACCAAGTAGCATGAAATTAAACCTCTTCCAAAAGTAAACTGCTTAAACTACCTTAATATAGAAAATAAATAGGGTCTTACAGGTTACAACATACTTGTTAATCAAAGAACATAACAAATCTACACTTGAGGATGACAGAGTAATATGCATGACTCATTGACTCAAGGCTCTACATATATACTTACATGATCCTAGCTTAGACTCCATGAGTAGCTATTTCGTACGTACTATTAGCTAATCATACCGAAGATCTAATTAAAATAACAAGCATAATCTTATATAAAGAGAATGAAAATTGTAGACCATATGATTGAATTGATAGACAATAATGATGTTATATGTGAAGTATAACATCTACAAATATATGATTTTCTTCAGATAAATCCATTATTATGTCCCTCAATAATACCAAATACATATAAAAAGGCTAATAGAATTTTACGCATTAATATGATACAACTTGGCAAAGAACTTTTCTTGCAAAATGAACACAAATTATTACCACCTACCAAATGGATGGTAGAATAATTACCATTAGAAAAAGGCGGTTATAATTTTAAAAAAGCCTAATTTTAAGATAAAAACCTCACATGAAATTTAGATTATCCATGTATTGTAGTATCTCTGTTAATTTTACCATGTTTTCATGATAGCAACAACGACAATGACATCAAACCAGATAGAATCTTGTGATCCTAGATGTTGGGAATGTAATCGGCATCCTACATAACACCCAAATGTATGTAATTTTACACCCCTTCACATTCTCTTTTTCGTGTACTCTATCTATGATATGAATTACACTCGAGTGTCTAGATGGACAATTGGACACCCTAAGGTGTAGTGAGATCGAAAATTTTAACCAACTTAGCTTCAATTCAAGATATATAGTACTAATCAAGCTCCACACATCAACTATATATACATGTAAAAAACAAAGGTACATTTACCTGACATTGCAAATGGTGAATTAGTCTATCATTGAACTTGGTTGAAGTGCAACTCACAACTTCAAGTCCTTCATCAAAAATTACTTGTATAGCGCTTGATAGCGAAAATCGGTCTTCATCTTCACATCCAACACTAATTTCTACTTCAAAACCAACTACAGATTGTCTAATTGTTACAGATGAGTTGCTGGATCCACCTAATTCAGAAGTCGAACTCGTCGATTCTTGTTGTTCTACTGATTGTTTAAGCTGATCTCTTCTCTCTTCAAGCTCCTTTACATTCTTTTTCAAGTGTTGTATGTAATTTACAGCTTCCCCTATATGCTCACTTGTTGATCTCTTTCCCTGAAACTCCATAATTAGTAACAACCCTTAAATTAAACCTAATTAATTACCTCAAATGTTTCTAATTAAACTCATTATAACCCTAATAAAAAACTACAAACTAAATCAAAAATAATATATACCCATCAAATTAAACAAACCAATAAAAAAGAAAAAAAACACCAATATTCATAAATCAAAAATTAAAGTAACCTAAGAAATTAAATGAAATTAAACCTGAATAGATTCAGAAGGAAGAGTTAAACGAAGGGAATTATAAAGATCAGCCATTTCTTGCCTCCTTTGACGTTCATATTCTCTATGCATAACCTTTCTTTCATCATCATCAATATTAGTAGTAGTATTAGTATTAGTATTACTACTACTAGCTAACAATGATGATGATTTACGACCTCGGCCTCGACCACGACCACCTCTACCTCGGCCTCGGCCAGGATTAGTACTAGTTGTATTATTGACTAGGCCAACAGAAACATTATTATTATCATTCAACATAATCTCATCTTCTTCTTCAAATTGGTCCCCCTCATCACTAATTTTGAACGACAGCTCACAACTTCGTTGGAAAGGGAACATGATTTTTTCTTTGTTTCTCTTAATTTAGGAGAGAGAAAATCAAACGGATCAAATCAAGATCATTTCACACTAACTAGAAGAAATAATTAGGGAGAAATAAGGGTAGAGATTTAATAATTCTTTCTAAAAGAGTTTTTAATTATTTATTTATTTTAAGACAAGAAAACATAATTAAATAATAAAAGGGCATTATTTAATCTAAGGGTAATCCATAATTTGATGGAATAAAAATCTTTGTGGGACTACCCTAGAGTTGTCGTACACTCTTATGATGAGCTCGCTTTTAATAATAGCCGCTTGATCTGATGATATGATTTGATGATGTATTATGATCAAGGAAAGATATAGGAAGATCATGATGATTAAGGAAAGATCTACAGTATCTAATTAATTATCGTAAGCACGTATTATAGTATTGGGTGTAGACGCACCAACTAAGTAATATAGTGTAGTCTACTCAATAAAGACCAAGACTTTGTTTAGGATACATAGAATCTACTAGATTAATTATTTTATGTTGAGTTGATCCAATAATAGGTGTTGATTAATGTTAATGATGTAATAATAATTATCAAGAAATTGCATTATGTTTGGAATGTATGTGTGTTTTTTAATAAGAGGGAATGTATAGCTAGGTAACTCTTTTTAGGGTATTTTTAGCTTTTATTATGCTGCAAAGTCTGCAATTTATGTCTTTTGCTACTCATGACTTCATGAGTATGAATTTGTTTTGTAATGTGAGATTAAGGGGAGAAAATTATTCAAGTACAATTAAGTGTAATTCAATCTGAAAATGCTATACTTAAACTTAATTTTTCATTACATTTTTAAAGAAAATTTCATTTATTTTCTGAATTTTCAAATTTTTTATTTTCGTAATTAATTTCTGATTTTTTTTTTTATAAAATGCATTTTTTTAATAATTTGACCAGCAAAAAAATAAATCAGAGATCGGCCAATGAAAATTAAGGGTTTGTCCTCATTGACTGAACTAAACTGAACTTATTAGAGCTGAACTTAACTGAACTGAACTTATTAGAGCTGAACTAAATAGAAGTGAACTGAACTGAACTGAATTGATTAGAGCTGAAATGAACTGAACTTAATATTTTATAAGAGAAGGAAATTAGGAGCTAAACCGAACTGAACTGAACTTATTAGAGTTGGACTGAACTGAACTGAAAATAATCGCATCAGAAAAGGGCTTTAATATAGTGGCAGTATAGGAAGACTACCATAACAACATATCATTCAATCCAAACTAAACTAAATCTTTAAATGTATTTATTATATTTATTTTTGAATGGATGTGGATTGGTTTAAATTTCATTTTTTTTAATTTTAAAATTACTTACATATTGGATCGAATTTAATGTATTTCAAATTTCCAAATAAAATTTAATTTTTCGTTTCTTTGCTTCAAACAAGGGCTTACTGTTAAACATAAAAACAACTCAATAACTAGAAATAAAACTGCTACATTTTTCACGTAATGACGTTCTAATACTCCAAAAATATAGAGTATTAGTAAACATAGCCCTTAGGGATACATATAAGCATTAAATTTACACTTGAAAATCGTAAAAATGAAAGAAATCATCAAAATATAAACACTAATAACACTGATTTCCGCGTGGTTTTGTCATAAATTCCTAATTTTATACAATTTCCAAGAGTACATTTAATGCTTATATAAAACCCTTAGGCCTACATATAACATTACACATAATAAATTAAAACTTGGTACAGTTATTCTTGCTACATTTTCGTGCAGTGTACTCTAATATAATATAGTTCGATGATTTTTTTCCACGCCTTTAGAAGCACTAATGACTAGCTAGTATGTTACTGTAATACTTAACCGGCATAATGCTTCAATTTGGGGCGTTTGATATGAATATTGAAAATCAAATGAAAATGAAACAAATAAGAGAGGGGAAAGGAAGCATCTTGCATTACCTTTTTCATATGTTTGGTTTAACCATGAAAAGGAATTACTTAAACATAACTTCCTCTCTTTTTATTTGAGGGGGGTAAGTGAAATTATTACCTTAGATTTAAGAGAGGTAACAATTAGGTGAAAACCATTACCCCTAGGTAATGATAACTGTTACCTAAAACTTCTAATCAACCACTAAGTAACGGTAATAGTTTAGTTGAATCGGTTTATTCCAACCCAGGCCAATAAACACTCTTACCAAACCCGATTTCTTTTCTACGAAGCGAAAGAACGTAAACAGCCCATAAGAATCGCCATTCTGTCATGCCAAAAGAGCAGCTGGTCATCCATTAAAAGCATTAGACGTTGGACTATACTACTCCTCCAAAGCTATTGCAACTGCCCTCATCATCTCGACACGAAAAGGCCTTAAAAAGGTAAGAACCCACTATCTAATGTTTACAAGACCGTCATCTCAAACGTCTTCTCAAAAGAATACTATAAACAACATTTACCTTAATAAATATATAAGAATAACACCTAATGTTTACAAGTTCATAATGTTGTAGGTAAAGGTATCAAAAGTTGAACTAACGCGAAATAGCGACTCAAACTCGATTATTAACCGATCCATCTGAAGCCGAAAAAATAGTGACCCAAACCCGACCTGACCCAACCTGAAACCAACATAGGCCCGAGTTAACCCTAGTTTGTGAGACCCGAACATGAATTGACCTGGAGATGTCCCGACCTGAATGTAACCCGTTAATTATTGACCTGAACCGAACACGTCTTGAACCGAAATTGACCCAAATCCGTTTTAATCCGTCAAAACCCAAATTTAACCCGACTTGTTACTAACCTGACCTGAATTCAACCCGACTCGTTCCTAACCCGACCATAATTTAACCCAACCTGTTACAAACCCGACCCGAAATAAACCCGACTTGTTATTGACCTGACCCAAATTCAACCTGACTTGTTATTGATCTAACCCGAATTATACCAGACCTATTACTAACCTGGCCCAAAAATTCAACCAGATCTGTTACTAATCCGACTCGAAATCAACACGACTTGTTATTTACCCGACCTAAATTCAACTTAAATTGTTCCTGACCCAATTTCAAATCACCTTAAATGCACTTTAGACCACATTATTATTGTTGATCAAAGCATTTTGTCTAGGAAGACTAAGTCGGTCAAGGCCAACAAAAGAAAGGAGGATTATCCTCTCATTTAAGAGTTAAATATAGTATATATTTGTTGTATGGTCAAAGGAGATAATTATCTTCCTAAATTATAAACTATAGTTCCCTATTATATTGTCATATATATTATAGTCAAAGGGAAATAATTAGCTTGATAAAAATGATAATTATCTATTTATAGTTAGTTGAACCCGAATATGACTTGACCTGATTGTAACTACAAATCATTGACTTGAACATAACCCGACTTGACTCCGAGAATGACTCGACTTGGAAATGACCCAACCTGATTATAACCCGCAAATTATTGACTTGAACCGAACCCGACTTGAACCAGAGAATGACCCGACTTGAAAATGACCCGACCTGATTATAACCCACAAATTAATGACTTGAATCGAACCCGACTCAAACACGAGAACGACCCGACCTAATTCTAACCCGCAAATTATTGACTTGAACCGAACCCGACTCGAACCCGATGATTACCCTAACCCATTTTAACCCATGAAAAATCGAATTAAACCCGACCTATTGTTCACCTGACCCGAATGTAACCTGACTTATTATTAACCCGACCCAAAACTGATAAGAAGTATGACCCGACTCAAGCATGACCGAACCCAAACCCGAGCCGCATAGGTTATGGAATTCATCCAAATTGACCCGACCCGAGTTGACCCGACCCATTTACCCGAATTGACAGCTCTACCTGAAACCTTTAAAATTTCTCAAAAAACGTAAATATTAGCCTTCAGTTTTGGAATTTTTTGACTTTTTTTTCACCAGGAAATAAAATTGCCGAAATGTTTATCATGGTCCCTAATACCCTCTGGGAGTCAACTGGTTGGGTGGAACCATCCAATTTGCCTTTAAACTACCAATTTACCGGTTTACAAATTGCGCCGATTTCATTAACTCAAGCTTACCACGAACATTTATGACAACATATAATAATCATGTATGGATCCAAAAGGCATTATATGACCCCGAGATGTATCCCCTAAAATCTCAATGCTTTTCGACACCAGGCCCCGAAACATTCGAAATTTCTCAAAAAGCGTGGATATTAGCCTTTAATTTTGGAATCTTTTTTTTTTCGCCCGGATATAAAAATTTTCGAAATGTTTACCATGGTCCCAAATACTCTCCGGAAGTCCAATTGAGTGGGGTGGAACCATCAAATTTGCTTTTAAACAACCAATTTAGCGGTTTACAACTTACACCGATTTGATTAATTCAAGCCTGTCACAAACATTTATGACAACAAATAATGATCATATACAATTCCAAACGACATTATATAACCCCGAGATGTATTCCCTACAATTTCACGACTTTTTGACACCAGGACCGAAGACTCGAAAAATTCTCAAAAAGCATGGATAAACCCCTTCAATTTTTTTAATTTTTCGACTTTTTTTCGCCCGGAAATAAAAATTGCCGAAACGTTTACCATGGTTTGTAATATCCTCCGATAGTCCAATTGGGTAGGTAGAATCATCCAATTGGGTAGGTAGAATCATCCAATTGAATTTTTTTTTTTTTTTTTTTTTTTTTTTTCCAATTGAAGGAATGGATATTAGCATTCAATTTTTAAATTTTTTCGCATGGAAATAAAAATTGCCGAAATGTTTATCGTGGTCCATAATACCCTCTCGGAGTCCAATTGGGTAGGTGGAACCATCCAATTTGCCTTTAAACAATCAATTTATCAATTTACAACTTGTACCGATTTCATTTATTAAAGTCTGCCACGAACAATTATGACAACATATAATGATCATATATGGTTCCAAACGACATTATATGACCCCGAGATATATGCACTAAAATCTTATAACTTTTCGACAACGGGCCCCGAAACCTCTAAAATTTCTCAAAAAGCGTGGATATTGGCCTTCAATTTTGGAATTTTTTTTACCTTTTTCGCCAAAAATAAAAATTGACGAAATATTTTCCATGATCCCTAATACCCTCTGGGAATCCCATTGAGTGGGTGGAACCATCC